GGAATAATAATTCCCAAAAATCCTCATAAAGTGCCGGGTTTGGGTTTGATTTTTTTTTGGTTTTTTTTTAATGGAATTCCTGGATTTTTTTTTGGGAAAAAAATCCCAAATCTTGGTGGGAAGGAAGGAGATTCAGCCCCTCCCCCATCCCCCCAAAAAAATGACCTCGATCCCAAAATTTGGGGGAGTCGGGAATTCCTTGGGAGGATTGGGAATAAGGCAACAATTCCATGAAAATTCCATGAAAATTCCATGAAAATTCCATGAAAATTCCACTAAAATCCCATGAAAATTCCACGAAAATTCCATGAAAATTCCATGAAAATTCCATGAAAATCCCATGAAAATTCCATGAAAATTCCACAAAAATCCCATGAAAATTCCATGAAAATCCCACAAAAATTCCACTAAAATCCCATGAAAATTCCATGAAAATTCCATGAAAATTCCACAAAAATTCCATGAAAATTCCATGAAAATCCCATGAAAATCCCACGAAAATCCCATGAAAATTCCATGAAAATTCCATGAAAATCCCATGAAAATTCCATGAAAATCCCACTAAAATTCCATGAAAATTCCATGAAAATCCCATGAAAATTCCATGAAAATTCCATGAAAATTCCATGAAAATTCCATGAAAATTCCATGAAAATCCCATGAAAATTCCATGAAAATCCCATGAAAATCCCATGAAAATTCCATCAAAATTCCATGAAAATTCCACGAAAATCCCATGAAAATTCCATGAAAATTCCATGAAAATTCCAAAAAAATCCCATGAAAATTCCATGAAAATTCCACAAAAATCCCATGAAAATTCCATGAAAATTCCATGAAAATTCCATGAAAAGTCCCATGAAAATCCCATGAAAATCCCATGAAAATTCCATGAAAATCCCATGAAAATTCCATGAAAATTCCATGAAAATCCCATGAAAATTCCATGAAAATTCCATGAAAATCCCATGAAAATTCCATAAAAATCCCATGAAAATTCCATGAAAATTCCATTAAAATCCCATGAAAATCCCATAAAAATCCCATGAAAATTCCATGAAAATCCCACGAAAATTCCATAAAAATTCCATGAAAATTCCATGAAAATCCCACTAAAATTCCATGAAAATTCCATGAAAATCCCATGAAAATTCCATGAAAATCCCACAAAAATTCCATGAAAATCCCACGAAAATTCCATGAAAATTCCATGAAAATTCCATGAAAATCCCATGAAAATTCCATGAAAATCCCATGAAAATTCCACAAAAATCCCATGAAAATTCCATAAAAATTCCATGAAAATTCCATGAAAATTCCACGAAAATCCCACGAAAATCCCATGAAAATCCCATGAAAATTCCATGAAAATTCCACGAAAATCCCATGAAAATTCCATGAAAATTCCATGAAAATCCCATGAAAATTCCATGAAAATTCCACGAAAATTCCACGAAAATTCCACGAAAATTCCATGATTTTTGGATCCGGAATTTTGGGTGTTTCCACTTTTTTTTCCATGGAATTTTTTTGGGTTTTTTTTTTTTTCTCTCCCCCCATTCCATGAAATTTTTGGGAATTTCAACCCGAATTTCATAAATTTTTTTGGGGATTCCTCTCATTCCATGGATTTTTTTGGGATTTCCTCTCATTCCATGGGATTTTTTGGGATTCCCTCTCATTCCATGGGATTTTTTTGGGATTTCCTCTCATTCCATGGGATTTTTTGGGAATTTCCTCTCATTCCATGGATTTTTTTGGGAATCCCCCTCATTCCATGGGATTTTTTGGGATTTCCTCTCATTCCATGGGATTTTTTGGGATTCCCTCTCATTCCATGGGATTTTTTTGGGAATCCCCCTCATTCCATGGGATTTTTTGGGATTTCCTCTCATTCCATGGAATTTTTTGGGAATTCCTCTCATTCCATGGGATTTTTTGGGAATTCCTCTCATTCCATGGGATTTTTTGGGAATTCCTCTCATTCCATGGGATTCTTTTGGAATTTCCTCTCATTCCATGGGATTTCCTCTCATTCCATGGGATTTTTTTGGGAATTCCTCTCATTCCATGGGATTTTTTGGGAATTCCTCTCCTTCCATGGGATTTTTTTGGGATTTCCCTCTCATTCCATGGGATTTTTTGGGAATCCCCCTCATTCCATGGGATTTTTTGGGAATCCCCCTCATTCCATGGGATTTTTTGGGAATTCCCTCTCATTCCATGGGATTTTTTTGGGAATTCCTCTCATTCCATGGGATTTTTTGGGAATTCCTCTCCTTCCATGGGATTTTTTTGGGATTTCCCTCTCATTCCATGGAATTTTTTGGGAATTCCCCGCTCCCTCAGCAGAGGCTGAAGACGGAAGGGGCCTGGCTCCGATACTTTTCCTGGAAATTCTTCAGGATCGGGATGAGGTTGGGAAAGGCCGGGCGGAACGAGGCCTCGGCCTCCCAGCAGTTCTTCATCAGCCGGTAAATCTGGGGGGAGAAGATGGAAAATCCCGGGAAATTCCCATCCCCATTCCTCAATATCCCATTCCCGTGATCCCATTCCCATTCCCATTCCCATTATCCCATTCCCAGTTCCCATTCCCGTTATCCCATTCCCAGTTCCCAGTTCCCATCCCCATTCCCCATCCCCAGTTCCCATTCCCATTCCCATTCCCAGTTCCCATTATCCCATTCCCGTTATCCCATTCCCATTCCCAGTTTCCCATTCCCATTCCCATTCCCAGTTCCCATCCCCCATTCCCATCCCCATTCCCATTCCCATTCCCATTCCCCATTTCCCATTCCCATCCCCATCCCCCATTCCCAGTTCCCATTCCCAGTTCCCATTCCCAGTTCCCATCCCCATCCCCCATTCCCAGTTCCCATTCCCAGTTCCCATTCCCAGTTCCCATTCCCAGTTCCCATTCCCATCCCAGTTCCCATTCCCAGTTCCCATTCCCATTCCCCATTCCCATTCCCATTATCCCATTATTTCCCATTCCCATTCCCATCCCCATTATCCCATTCCCATTCCCATTATCCCATTATTCCCATTCCCATTCCCATTCCCATTATCCCAGTTTCCCATTCCCATTCCCATTCCCATTCCCATTTCCCATTCCCATTCCCATTCCCATCCCCCATTCCCAGTTCCCATTCCCAGTTCCCATTCCCAGTTCCCATTCCCATTCCCATTCCCATTATCCCATTCCCATTCCCCATCCCCATTCCCATTCCCATTATCCCATTCCCATTCCCATTCCCATTATCCCATTCCCATTCCCCATTCCCATTCCCCATTCCCCATCCCCAGTTCCCATCCCCAGTTCCCATTCCCAGTTCCCATTTCCCATTCCCAGTTCCCTTTCCCATTATCCCATTCCCATTATCCCATTATTTCCCAGTTCCCATTTCCCATTATTTCCCAGTTCCCATTCCCATCCCTGTTATCCCATTATTCCCATTATTCCCATTATCCCATTATTCCCATTATCCCATTATTTCCCATTCCCATTCCCATCCCCATTATCCCATTATTTCCCATTCCCATTCCCATTCCCCATTCCCAGTTCCCACTATCCCATTCCCATTATCCCATTATTCCCATTATCCCATTATTCCCATTATCCCATTATTCCCATTCCCATTATCCCATTATTCCCATTGTCCCATTATTCCCATTATTCCCATTATTCCCATTATCCCATTATTCCCATTGTCCCATTATTCCCATTGTCCCATTATCCCATTATTCCCATTTTTCCCATTATTCCCACTATTTCCCATTCCCATTATTCCCATTTTCCCCATTTTTCCCCATTTTTCCCCATTATTCCCATTTTCCCCCATTTTCCCCATTTTCCCCCATTTTTCCCCATTTTTCCCCATTTTCCCCCATTTTTCCCCTTTTTCCCACTTTTCCCACCTCACAGGGACAATCCCCCGGCACCGGGAGCCTCCTGCCCCTCTCCAGGAGCTCGATCAGCCTCAGCACCGTCATCTGGCCCTGCGTGGCTCCGATCATCTCCAGGAATTTCTGCCCAAAAATTCCCAAAATCCAGGGGAAATCTCGGATTTCAGCCCCAAACCCCAAAATCCAGGGAGAAAATCCCGGATTTCAGCCCCAAAACCCCAAATCCAGGGGGAAAATCCCGGATTTCAGCCCCAAACATCCCCAAAATCCACAGGGAAATCTCGGATTTCAGCCCCAAAATCCACGGGGAAATCCCGGATTTCAGCCCCAAAATCCACGGGGAAATCTCGGATTTATCCCCAAACATCCCCAAAATCCAGGGGGAAAATCCCGGATTTCAGCCCCAAAATCCGCGGGGAAATCCCAGATTTCAGCCCCAAACATCCCCAAAATCCAAGGGAAATCTCGGATTTATCCCCAAAAATTCCCAAAATCCAGGGGGAAATCTCGGATTTCAGCCCCAAACATCCCCAAAATCCACAGGGAAATCTCGGATTTATCCCCAAAAATTCCCAAAATCCAGGGGGAAAATCCCGGATTTCAGCCCCAAACATCCCCAAAATCCAGGGGGAAAATCCGGGATTTCAGCCCCAAATCAACGGGAAAATCCCAGATTTCAGCCCCAAAATCCATGGGGAAATCCCAGATTTCAGCCCCAAACATCCCCAAAATCCACAGGGAAATCTCGGATTTATCCCCAAACATCCCCAAAATCCAGGGGAAATCCTGGATTTCATCCCCAAACCCCCAAATCCAGGGGGAAAATCCCAGATTTCAGCCCCAAATCCCAAAATCCAGGGGGAAAATCCCGGATTTCAGCATCAAATCAACGGGAAAATCCCGGATTTCAGCCCCAAAATCCACGGGGAAATCCCAGATTTCAGCCCCAAACATCCCCAAAATCCAGGGGAAATCTCGGATTTATCCCCAAACATCCCCAAAATCCGCGGGGAAATCTCAGATTTATCCCCAAACATTCCCAAAATCCAGGGGGAAAATCCCGGATTTCAGCCCCAAATCCACAGGAAAATCCCAATTTCATCCCCAAATCCATGGGAAAATCCCACATTTATGGGCTCCAAACCCCAAAATCTGTGGGAAAATCCCAGATTTGGGGCCCAAATCCATGGGAAAATCCCAGATTTCATCACCAAATCCACAGGAAAATCCGGATTTCAGCCCCAAATCCATGGGAAAATCCCGGATTTGGGCCCCAAATCCAGGGGAAAATCCCAATTTCATCCCCAAATCCAGGGGAAAATCCCGGATTTCATCCCCAAATCCAGGGGAAAATCCCGGATTTCATCCCCAAATCCATGGGAAAATCCGGATTTCATCCCCAAATCCACGGGAAAATCCCAGATTTGGGGCCCAAATCCATGGGAAAATCCCAATTTCATCCCCAAACCCATGGGAAAATCCCGGATTTATGGGCTCCAAACCTCAAAATCCATGGTAAAATCCCTGATTTCATCCCCAAATCCATGGGAAAAATCCGGATTTCAGCCCCAAACCCATGGGAAAATCCCGGATTTCATCCCCAAACCCATGGGAAAATCCCAATTTCAGCCCCAAATCCCGGGATCTGTGGGGAAAATCCCAGATTTATGGGCTCCAAACCCCAAAATCCATGGGAAAATCCCAGATTTCATCCCCAAATCCAGGGGAAATTCCCAGATTTATGGGCTCCAAACCCCAAAATCCGTGGGAAAATCCCGGATTTCATCCCCAAATCCGTGGGAAAATCCGGATTTCAGCCCCAAATCCTGGGGAAAATCCCGGATTTCATCCCCAAATCCAGGGGAAAATCCCAATTTCATCCCCAAATCTGTGGGAAAATCCCAATTTCATCCCCAAATCCGTGGGAAAATCCGGATTTCAGCCCCAAATCCACGGGAAAATCCCAATTTTATCCCAAAATCCACAGGAAAATCCCAGATTTATGGGCTCCAAACCCCAAAATCCGTCAAATCCACGGGAAAATCCCAATTTTATCCCAAAATCCACAGGAAAATCCCAGATTTATGGGCTCCAAACCCCAAAATCCGTGGGAAAATCCGGATTTCAGCCCCAAATCCACGGGAAAATCCCAGATTTGGGCCCCAAACCCATGGGAAAATCCCAATTTCATCCCCAAATCCACGGGAAAATCCCAGATTTCAGCCCCAAACCCCAAAATCCAGGGGAAAATCCCAATTTCACCCCCAAATCCATGGGAAAATCCCAATTTCACCCCAAACCCCGGGATCTGGGCGTCACTCACGGCCGGGGGGCTGGAGCCGGGCTCGCAGCGCGTCAGGAGCTCGTAGAGCGTCACCCCGAAGGACCAAACGTCGGAGGCGTAGTAAAATTTACATTCCTTGAGGCATTCCGGGGCGTACCTGGGGCCGTTTGGGATGGGGGAATTGGGGATTTGGGATTTGGGGGAGGTGTGGTGGGGAATGGTGAGGGGTGGGAATGGGAAATGGGGATGTAAAATAAGTAAAAATAGCCAAAAAAAATGAAATAGGGGGAGAAAAATACCCCAAAAAATCCAAATAGAATCAAAAATAACCCGAATGGAGACGTCAAAAAACACCAAAATGCCAGGGATTTCCCCCAAATTCACTGAAATTCCCCCAAAATCCCAGGGATTTCCCCCAAATTCCCTGAAATTCCCCCAAAATCCCAGGGATTTCCCCCAAATTCCCAAAAATCCCCCCAAATCCCAAACCTAAAACCCCAGAAATTCCCCCAAAATCCCAGGAATTCCCCCAAATCCCCAAAAATCCCCCAAATTCCCAGAAATTCCCCCAAAATCCCAGAAATTCCCCCAAAATCCCAGGATTTCCCCCAAATTCCCAGGAATCCCCCCAAAATCCCAGGAATTCCCAAAAATCCCAACCCTAAAACCCCAGAAACCCCCCCAAATTCCCAGAAATTCCCCCAAATTCCCAGAAATCCCCCCAAAATCCCAGGAATTCCCCTAAATCCCAACCCTAAAACCCCAGAAATTCCCCCAAATCCCCAAAATTCCCCCAAATCCCAACCCTAAAACCCCAGAAATTCCCCCAAAATCCCAGGAATTCCCCCAAATCCCAACCCTAAAACCCCAGAAATTCCCCCAAATTCCCAGAAATTCCCCCCAAATCCCCCCAAAACTTCATCAAACCCCCCCAAAACCCCGAGATATTTTTTTTTAACCCAATCCTTTAATTTTTTTACATCCCAAAAGCCTGGAAATTCCCCAAATTCCCGAGGGAAAATCCCGGGGATCCCCTCACCAGAAGACGGGGCTGTCGCCGTCCTCGCGTACCCGGTAATAATCGTGACCCTCGGGCACGGCCTTGGCCAAGCCAAAATCCCCGATTTTCACCACGTGTTCGTTCTCCAGGAGAACGTTCCGGGCTGCCAGATCCCGGTGGATGTAGTGCAGGGAATGCAGGTAGGCCATGCCCTGGGGAAATGGGGGAAAATGGGGAAAAAAGGGGAAAAAATGGGGAAAAAAAAGGGAAAAAAGGGAAAAAAGGGAAAAAAACGGGGAAAAATGGGGAAAAAATGGGGAAAAAAAGGGGAGAAAAAGGGAAAAAATGGGAAAAAACGGGAAAGAAAGGGAAAAAAAAGGGAAAAAAGGGAAAAAAAAGGGAGAAATGGGGGAAAAATGGGAAAAAAAGGGGAAAAAACGGCAAAAAAACGGGGAAAAAGGGAAAAAAACGGGAGAAAAAGGGAAAAAAAGGGAAAAAAAGGGAAAAAAAGGGAAAAAAAGGGGAAAAAAAGGGAAAAGAAGGGAAAAAAAGGGGAAAAAATGGGGAAAAAAGGGAAAAAATGGGGAAAAAAAGGGAAAAAAAGGGAAAAAAAGGGAAAAAAAAGGGAAAAAAACGGGAAAAAAGGGAAAAAAAGGGAAAAAAAGGGAAAAAAGGGGAAAAAATGGGGGAAAACGGGGGAAAATGGGAAAAGACGGGGAAAAACAGGGAAAAAAGAGAAAGAAACGGGA